CACACACACACACACACACACACACACACACACACACACACACACACACACACACACACACACGGGGTGTAAATTGAACACAAGAAACAAACAAATACCTGTGGCCTGCTCAGCTCCACAGGCTCCGAAGGGAGGGACTCAACCGCTGGGATATTCCAGCCAAGTGTGGCCGAGCGAGGACCGCAACAGACACGAAACGCATGCCTGAAGAACATGACAGGAAGAAAGTCCCGAAAGAGATGATCATTTCAGGAACAATAAAAATAAAAACCAAGCTGGAGGTCTGAATAGAGGCTGCAGAATGAAAAGTTGAAGCTGCTTTGATGTGTGTTTATCTGAAAGTGGCTGCAGCCTCTCAAAGTGCCCATTAGCTGCAGTCAACTTTCTTGTGGTATGGTCTGAGTTGTGTATTGACAGACCTGCTGCTGCTGCTGCTGCTGGCCCAGTTTGACTAAAAAACAGTTTGTCCTCACGAGATGGTAGCTTTAAAGGACACAGACTGCCACTGTAGTTTTCAGAGTGTGTGTGGTATTTTTTTTACTAACTGCAGTTTTCTCCTTTATTTATTTACCTTTTCAGGCCGATGTTCCCTTGCGGAGGCCACCTGATTACAGACTCCGGCATTGTGGCAAGTGAAGGCTTCCCAGATTACTACAAACCCAACAGTAAATGTACCTGGTACATCACTGTAAGTTACCCGCATCACTTCCTGTCTGATTCGAAGCCCTTGTGGAGGTTTTCTGGTTGTTGCCTTTTGCAAATCGCTCAATCTTATTATTAAAAGGGGACGTATCTTGCAAAATTCACCTTTTTAGCCATAAAATACATTTTGATACATTTTTGAACCTATAGGAGTGCAGATAATTAGAATTTACTAGCTGGAGGGGGGTTGGGTGTGAAGCAACTTCTTTGGATTTAAAGAGACAGCCTCAAAACAAGTTGATCTGAGGTAAAAGGGGGGCTTGAGGAGTTGAAATAAGGAGGAGTTCAAATCAAAGCATTGCAGTTCCACTTCATAAACCCCTAAGTGAATTACTTAAATGTGAAGATTAGCGCTGTTGTCTTCCCTGCTAGGGACTTCCTGTGGAGAGTTTGCTTGTTCTCTTCATGCACGTTTTGTGTTTTCTCTGGTTTCCACATACAGTCCAAAACATCCATGTATAGCTGAATGGCAACTATAAATTGGCCCTGAATGTGAGTGTGAATGGATCCTGAATCTTGTCCAATTTGACCAGTGGAGATAGGTTTATAAGAAACAATCTCGTAAGGCAGGGCGATAAAACAATGATATCTATTGCAATAGACACATGATCAGTACCAATAGAAACTTTGTTAGATACAATATTGATCATCCTTTGACTGAACTCCAATCCAGAATCACATGGCATTCTGGGGGGGATGGGCAGAGAAAAGGCTTTGGCTGGTCAACCCCTCATAACCCAGCATTTTTCAACCATATCGCCCAGCCTTACTACCTCCTGAATTTGGGAGTAGAAAGGATAGAAGGTTCTGACATCAACACCCACCTGAGGGATCAGCTGGGGCATGTTGTTTGTTCCAGACTGACCAACATGACCACATTGGCTGATTTACAACAAATGCTGGCTGAGAATGGGATGTCATCCCACAGCAACACATAATAAATTTTGTCTGACTAAGTTCTGGCCCAGACAAGATACTAACACTCTTAACGGTCAGCCCAGATACCGCAACAAATGACAGCCCTTTGGTGGTCCAGATGTGGTTTGCCAGAGGTGGTCCATGCATGGGTCAGCACCTCATAAACCAAACCACAACTGGACCAGTCATGGCATGCCATCTTAAAAACTGTTATCACTGCCAGACCTGGTCCACAAACCTCTTGCCATGCCAGCCGTCAGTCAGCACTGCCAGCTTGACACCAGATCTGGCCCACCCCTGCCTGCTATGTGGGCAAGTCATCATGAGGAGGAGATGCCAGGCTAAAACTGCAAATGACTCAGTAAATCAGGCTGTTGGGGCTGTGTATGGTTCTTCCACATGCCACTGAAGCACCTGTTTGTCAAATAGATAAACTGTTAAGTTGCCAACATGTCTTGTTTCTTCAGATTTCAATCTTCAAATCTAGTAAATAGCATAACACAATAGTCACCATTAAAGGGAAAATACATAGGTTATCTAACTGCATAAGATTTATTGCCCATAAGCATTGCAGGAAAGAAATAATTAGCTAAACACAAATTTCCTTACTTTATGGGCTAAGTTAAAATGGGCAGCCGTTTTGTGAGTTGAGTGTAAAACTTGCCTCATTGGTTGTTTTGACCCAAGGACAGCAGGACTGTGAGAAATTATCTCATTTCATATAACTTTAACCCGTCAGGTTCCAGAGAGTCATGTGGTCATGCTCTCCTTCCGCCTCTTCGACCTTGAGGCTGACCCCACCTGCCGCTATGACTACTTGGATGTCTTCAACGGTCACTCGCGCTCAGTGCAAAAACTGGGTCGTTTCTGCGGGACGTTCAGACCTGGTGCTCTCATTTCTACCTCCAACACCATGATGTTGGAGCTGGTGTCAGATGAAGCCACAGGAGGAAGAGGCTTTCTGGCTGCCTTCAACGCAGGGAAACCACATATGGAAGGTAATAATACATTCTGATTTTAGCATTCGGCAAAAAACATCTAGATTTTATTGATTGGTTGACCTCTGTGAGGGCTACAATCTTCATTGGTATAAAGAAGTTGGTACAGTTTTTGACTCTGGTTTCAATCCAACAGAGAACCAGTTCTGCGGAGGCCGCCTGACCAAATCACAAGGCTCTGTCAAGACGCCCAACTGGCCAAACTCAAATTACCCAGCAGGAATCAGCTGCTCCTGGCACATTACTGTAGAGCCAAGCAACGTAAGCTGCTCTTTCTTCACTTTCATGGCCTTTATGGTACAACTAATTTTTAAACTCCAACAGTGGAAAAAATGCTTTCCAACTTCTTTACTATAGAAGAAAAAGGGTTTTGTGTAAAGTGACAGTGCTCTCTAGTGATCTTTAGGTTGTTGGTGAAGGCTCCCAGTGATAAATCAAGTTATTTCATTAAGTAATTTTGACTTCTTTTAGATTTTTGAAGCACTTTTGCGTTTGTTTTCAACTCACTGTGAGAAAACCCTTTGAATGAAATAATCTTTAAAAATCAAAAAGACACCGCCTTCATTTGAGTTGTCCAAATAAAACAAAATATGACATTAGCCCGATGGTGAAGCTCAAATGAAAGACTTCATTGAGTCCCTGCAGGTGTGTTTATGCGGGCCAAGAGATTGAACCTGAGAAAACAAGGAAGGAACCAGGAGCAAGAGAGGGAGTAAATACCCCTCTTTATGTTAAACCTCCTTCAGCACACCTCCTGCTCATGGCTGCACTGTACCCATTTCATAAAACATAGACAGAATAAACATGAACCAGATTCATTCCCTGTCATAAGCTCATAATTTGTGTTACCATTTCTTTTCCAGGTGATTGAAGTGAAATTTGAAAAGTTGGACTTGGAATCAGATATGTACTGTCGCTATGACTATGTGGCATTGTTTAACGGCGGAGAAACCGACGACTCAAGGAGGATTGGGAAATTCTGCGGAGATAGACCGCCAGGGTGAGAAAATGGCAAAGATGTATTTAAATAAATTTCCTGTATTAAATATGGTTTAATTTCCATAATCTCTGTGTAGTACCATAGTGACGAATGGCAATGAGCTTCTTGTCCAGTTTGTGTCTGATCTGAGCGTGACCTCGGATGGATTCATGGCCTATTACACCAGTGTGCCCCTTGGATCCCGCACTCCTACTGCTGGGGGTGATTTCATCTACAGTCCTACGCTCATCTCCAGGCCACAGAAACCAACCGTGAAGCCAAGGAAGCCCATCAAATCAACACCTAAACCACCATCCAAACCAACGACAAGACCAACTCCAAAACCAACTACTAAACCAATCTCCAAACCAACTCCCAAACCACCTGTTAAACTCAGACCAGGGCTCCGTCCAAAACCAACCCCCAAACTACCAAAGGAGCCAATATCAAGGACCCCGCCGGTCAAGAAACCTCCTTATCGTAGACCTACTTCGAAGCTGGTGGTCAAGCCCACGCCTAAACCCAAACCAACCAAAACCACACCTAAGTTCCCCGTGAAAAAACCTACAATGAAACCCAAAACTAAACCTACACCTAAACCCAAACCAAGGCCCAAACCAAGTCCAAAACCCACCCCCAAACCAACAGCAAAGCCTAAACCAACACGTAAACCTGCTGTGAAACCAAAGCCCACCATGAAACCACAAGTCAAACCAGTGAAGCCGACCCCAAAGAGTGGAGTTAAACCAATAGGTAAACCTAAGATAATACCTAAACCAACACCGAAACCCGGACTGAACAAGACTGTGACGAAGAAACCCACTGTCGTTAAGAAACGTGAGTGGAATGAAGTGAAATATTTGGAAAGAAAGTTATGTAATGATGTGATCAGAGGTACAGTGCAGGTTGAACTGGGAGATTGAGATGGTTTGGAAGATTGGAAAGTTAGTTATTTACTTACATTTGAATGTGTTTGTTGATTTGTGAATTTCCTACAGCTTTTCCGATGAACCCACAGTGTACACAACCCTGTAGGAGACCAGGAACCCTTCAGTCCAGCTTCTGCACTCACGACTTTGGTGAGCTGAACAAATAACATTTTTCACCAATGTTCAGGAATCAGTTTGACCAAACACAAATGTTTCACCTACTTTAGTTTCAGCTTTACATTTTAAAGTGATGTACACATCTGACCAATGTTTTGGTCTCTCTTTCAGTCATTACCGGAAGGGTTACTTCCTTGAGCAGCGGAGCAACTGGCTCAGCTACAGTCGAAGTGTCCCTGATTAGGGCCTACAAGACGGGGCTCCTCAACCTCACCAAATCAGGACCCGTCAAGACGGTAACACTGACCTCCTCCTGCAAAAGATGCCCTGGACTTATCAAAGGTACGGTATTTGTTGTCCCTTTCTGTTTTTGAGGTGGTGCAAAAGAAGAGCAACTGTGACAGAGAATGTTTCATGCAAATCAGTATTTTATAAAATTTGACTTGTATATATAT